GTTCAGGTACCTAGAGAACAGAAGAGGAGCTTTTCATATAATTTAAAATTAAATGAACAAATTGCTATAGAATTGCCATGCATTAGATCAGTATTATATCCATTTGTTATTATTATGTATATTATAGTGTGATCTCACCTACTGATTTAAATCTGGATTGTGCTCAGCACTGTACAAACTCGGAGCACTAATGATCTAATTTGTCATTGCTAAATTCTGTATTATTTCTACAGCACCCAAAGTATGCATCACAAAATAAATAAGCTGTGACTGCAAATGACATTTGGCTGTCTGTCAAAGCCAAATTAAAGTATGGAATGAAGGCCACGTTCCAGGTTGTGTTGTGCCTGCTTTGCATGGGTCCAGCCAGAAGGAAAAAAAAACCGCCATAAGCCAGGTGTACTTGACAAAAGAAGGATTTCCTCTGACTAGGGGCATCCTATATGGTATCCTCCATATTGGCCCACAATTTAAGGGAAAAGAGGTATGGCTAAGGAGTTCCGGCTTCTTGGTGAGCCCTGGCTGTTGAAATGACTCTGGGGCACCATTGCCAGACAGATAAAGTAAAGAAGCCCTCAGCCTGCTCTGCGTTATGCCAGGAACTAGACTAGCACCAAAATGACCCCAGAATGAGAACTGAACTCAAGGTGGGCTTACTGCTACCTTTGCTCTCCATATGCCTGACCTGTGCTGTGCTGAGCACAGCTTGGACTTAATCCAGGATCTGGCCCTGAATCTGTAGGTGTAAAATTGAACCTTAACTGAAGTATAGCTCTCCCTAGCACCACCGGGAGCGGTTTCCAAAAGGGAAAAGAAAGGCAAAAATGAAGAAATGAAATACAGTAGAAGCTCAATCAAGTGCTCTTCACAGGAGCTCACCCCTCAGAATTTGTAGTGACCTTACTCGTGACAGTGTAGTTTTTCCTACGTTTTTCAACAAGCAAAATGAAAAAAGAGTAAATCCATCATGTGGCATCATATTGACACGAACATGGGTCATCAGCAGGTTTAGCACCTTTAGATCCACAGCACGTATCTCTTCCGCTTGAGCTGACAGCGTAAAGGACAGTAGTAATAGGTTGTCATCCTCTATGTGGGCCATCCAGTAGAGGCAGACAAGGCACTCATTTTGAGAGTGGGTTTCACAGCACATTCCAGGCATATGGAACGCAAAGGTAGCATTAATTCCAGGTTCTGAGAGGAATACTCTAGTGGTTACAGACCCTTCTGTCTCTGGCTCATCCAGCCTGCCCATATCCCAGTCCCACCTGTTGGCTTCTTGGCTCAGTCCCAGTCTCCCCATCCCCATTCCGTTCATCTCCTTGTCCCAGTCTACACACACACAGACCCCCGCACCCTATGGACTCCTTGTTCCAATCCCAGTCTTCCCCTAAGCTCTTCATCTCAGTCCCAAAATCCCCAACACCAACTCATCCTAGTCCCAGTCCCAGCCCTAGGGTGAGGTGGGGAGGCTGAGCACCCCAGCTCTCCGGAGGAAGGCGGAGAGCCAGACGGGAAAGAAACTGGGTGCTCAGCCATCAGCAGTTTGCCCGGAGGTTCTTGTCAATTTCACTTTCTGCAGCAGGGACAACTGACTAGAGCCTCTGAGCCAGGCAGCTGGAGAGCTGGAAAATTCCTTTTCAGTTCTTTCTAAACAGAATTTTTCTAGAAATCCCTTCCCATGAAAAATGTGGTATTTTCAACTCAATTCATGATGACAGTTTTTTTCAAAAAAACCACCTTTTTTTGGCAGGAAGGGATTGCTCATCTTCCAGCCAGCTCTACTGTCAGACTCTTTACTGAGCATCTGCAAACTGAGATTTTTCAGAAACGTATAACTTGGCCAAATGTGGGTGGATTGTCATTGGGGTGGCAAAAGACACAGCCCTCACAACAGGGTAACACCCCTTTGCCAAATTGCAAGTCCTGCTCCAAAGCATAGACGCTCTAGAGCTTCTCATTAAAAAGCTTGTCAGACATTTTTTACTTAGGAAAAACAACATATTTTCTGCTAACTTGATTCTAAGAAATGGCAGATACATTTCTGCCTAAATTCAGGCTAAGATAGACACATGTCCTGGAAAATTTCAGCCCAAATGGTTTAAGTTTAGCAAAGTTATAAACATCTGAAACTAGGATTTTATAATAAAACGTGTCAGGCAACCTTAACTATAGGCATCACTACCCTGTGCTACCTATAGTAAGTGAGATCCATTTAAATTTGACATGGGAGGAGAGAATATTTTGATAACTGCTTGGATTTAACAGAAGCTGAATAAGCAAGATAGCAACCTACACTAATTTACATGTTAATTTAAATAAACCTATGTCATTAGAGAGATTCACATGTACATTTAAAAAGCCAGAAGCATAACTTCCATCCATTCCCAGGCACTGCGAATAATAATAATTATAATAGCTCTTATATAGTTGAGGAAGACTTTTACAGAATCATAGAAGATTAGGATTGGAAGAGACCTCAGGAGGTCATCTAGTCCAATCCCCTGCTCAAAGCAGGACCAACACCAACTAAATCATCCCAGCCAGGGCTTTGTCAAGTCGGGCCTTAAAAACCTCAAAGGATGGAGATTCCACCACATCCCTAGAAACCCATTCCAGTGCTTCACCGCCCTCCTACTGAAATGAGAGACTAGATTGCATAACATGGTTAAATGCTGGAAATTTCCTTAGTGCTAACTCTGAAGACATTGTGGGCCAAATCCTCAGCTCTTGTAGAATCTGAGAATATCACTCTGGTGCAACTGAGGGTCTGGCCCTGCAAATATCAGAAATACCTGGCTGACATTACAGACCTGTTTGGGCTCAGCACTAACAGGGGCATCATATAAAGTTAAAAGGTAGCGTGTATAAAACTGTAATTTGATACATCCTAATGTATGGAACAGAGACTTGGCCAGTCACAAGAAAATAAATCTGTATGTTCACCACCATGGAAATGAAGATGTTGACAAGGTCAAGTGGTTGGACACGCTGTGACAGGAAACAAAATGAGGTTGTGAGAGGACTATTGTTGGTTGCCCCAACTGAAGACAAGTTGAGAGAGGCTAGGCTATTTTGGAATGGACATGTCTGGTGGAGACCTGAGACATATATTGATAGGATGGCCTTTGTAATCATTGTGGATGGAAGACGAGCAAGGGGGAGGCCAAAGATTCTGTACATGGACTGGATATCAGCGGACCTTAGAGAGACCTATTTGCAAAACAGCCTGGCATACAATCATGAGTTTTGGAAGAAGGCTCTAAAAGTCACTGATCCCAATTAGGGAAGTGACGAGAAAAAAGAAGAAGAGTCATTGCTATCAGCTCCACAAAGGTAGATCCCTTTATCCACTCCTTTATCTTCTCTTAGACCCACCAACATAGATCCAGTTGCAGGACTGATGACTTCATTTTCAAAGACAAGTCCCAATTTACTTGTGCTGAGTAGTGCCCCATGCCTTTCTGGCTGCTGAATGGGAAAAGTTGGGTATTGTTTTATTTTAATCCACACAGAAAAATATCTGAACTGAATTGGAGAGAACAAAAATAATAAATGTGATTACCAGGTACCCTGAGAGGCTGCTGATTGGGTGACTAGCATGGTAACATCAGTGAAGCTAAACAAAATCAGAATCTGCCTAGTCCTGGGAGATTTAAAACGTGATGAAAGGGAAGCTTTACCTGTCGTGTAGAGCAGAAAATGTTACACTGTAGTGACAATGCTGTATTGTTTTTTAGACTGGCTACACATCAGTGGCTTTGGCAAATACGGCTAAAGGAGGAATGCTGGAAGCTGTGTACTGTACATTACATTTTGTCCAGCATAATGTTGATTCACGTGATCTCTCTTTAATAGCTCATCTGCAGTGTAAGAATCCCAGAAATGTCTGAGAGTTTGGAAATTCTAGAGGTGACATTTGGATATGTGTTTAGAAATACATGGCAGAAGCATGATCAGAGTCTCGCATTGCAGCTAGAAGCAACAACCTTGAAACTGCAAGAAAGTACAAAGTCTGGCTGAATGAAGTAGGCTTCACTGGGCATCTACTGACTAAGCAGAAAATGTTTCATGCCAAATCCTGGAAAGGTAAGGGCCATTCACAAGATGCCAGAGCCCCAAAATAAAGTGGCACTCATGAGAAATGGATAGGATCCAGTACTGGGCACAGTCCATTCCCAAACTCTGTGAAGTGTTCCATTGAGAAAATAAGGTTGAATGGCACTGAGAACAAAAGCAACAGAATGGTTTCTATGAGCCAAAAAACTGGGTTTCAGATGTTCCTGTCATCCAGCCCAGCAGTGAAGCAGTGCCAGTAAATCTGTTCACTGAGGCAAGCTTTGAGGATTAAGGAGCAGTGATTTTGCAAGATTGAAGCCAGTCTGAGTTTAAAAATAATGGTGCCAGTAACTGTACATAAGAGCTGTTCAGGTGCAGACTGGCACAGTAGAGCTGCAACATGAAACTGTGGGTTGCAGGTGCATTTAAAATCGGTGGGCCTGGTTCACCACTGGCTCAGCCCTTATTATTTAGTGTTAATTATTTCTGTTTTATTATTATTCATTATTTGTGTTGCACTTGCTCTTAGAGGCCCTGTAGAGAATATAGGCTGACATTACACCTGGGTTTGCATTTGAATGTAGGCATGAGTGATAGGCCCAAAGAGTGTGACTAGACCGTATGAACTCATGAGACAGAAAGATGTTTGTGTTAAACTTGTTGTGACCTTTGAAATACCAGCATTATCTTATTTAAGGTTTGGGATGAGGTAATAGAAACAAAGAAAAACATAGTTAATTGGACACCAAGTGCCCAGTAGTTAGGGAGACTTATGGCAAAATGAGATAAGAAGAAAACTTTGAAGAAAGATGCCTAGTCATTAATCTTGTCTTGACTAGAGCAGAGGACAGTGTCCAGCCCTAAACTGCTAAGGTCTGATAACCACCAATGACATCACTTTTTTAGGATAGTGTATAAGAAACAAGGTTCTTTAGAATTTTCTTTGTCAGAGCTTTTCATATGGAATCACACCATGATTGGAAGGTATCTCCTGGGCCTGATCCTGTTGTAAGTATTTGGACAATGCATGTAACTGTATTGTTAAGGTATGGAATATAAGTGCTTGTATTTGTATTTTGGATGTAATCAGCACCATGTGACCTTTGGACTAATAAAGGAATGCTTGTGTGGAAGCTGAGTCATGGTTAGACCTTAGGAAAATTATTTGCAACAGGCCCTAACTAAGATCAAGGCCCCACTGTGCTAGATATTGTACAAACACATGAGAGATGATCCTGGCCTTGAAAAGCTTACAGTCTAAAAAGGTAAGACAAACAAGGGATGGAAGGAGAAACAGACACAGAGAGGTGAAGTAACTTGCCTAAGGTCACAGAGGAGGTTAGTGGCAAAGCCAGGAATATAGTCACGTCTCTTAAGTCGCAGTCTAGTGCCCCCTCCACTACTAGACCATGATGCCTATACACCTGTCCAAAGCAGTTGTGAAAAGCTATTAAATTGGATCAGCAAATTACACTCCCTTTGCGTGGGTATAAATGACTATGTAAGAGATAAAAGCAGGAGAGGAAGCACAGAAAGAAGTCAGTAGTCTATATAAAGGGGGCATTTTTATTTTAAATCCCACAAACAGTAAATTAATGTGACTTAGAAAAAGTCAGATAAAATAAAGATCTCTCTGCAGAAAGTCATCCCAGCAAAAGTACCAGGCCCCAGATCCTCAATAATATCCAAGCCCTTGATGCTCATTGATCTCAATGGGACTTAGGAGCCTGAATATCTTTGGGTATGTCTACACTACGAAATTAGGTTGAATTTATAGAAGTCGGTTTTTTAGAAATTGGTTTTATATATTCGAGTGTGTGTGTCCCCACAGAAAATGCTCTAAGTGCATTAAGTGCATTAACTAGGCGGAGTGCTTCCACAGTACCGAGGCTAGAGTCGATTTCCGGAGTGTTGCACTGTGGGTAGCTATTCCGCAGTTCCCGCAGTCTCTGCTGCCCATTGGAATTCTGGGTTGAGATCCCAGTGCCTGATGGGGATAAAACATTGTCGCGGGTGGTTCTGGGTACATATCGTCAGGCCCCCGTTCCCTCCCTCCCTCCGTGAAAGCAAGGGCAGACAATCGTTTCGCGCCTTTTTTTCTTGAATTACCTGTGCAGACGCCATACCACGGCAAGCATGGAGCCCGCTCAGGTAACCATCACCGTATGTCTCCTGGGTGCTGGCAGACGTGGTACTGCATTGCTACACAGCAGCATCAACTCATTGCCTTGTGGCAGCAGACGGTACAGTACGACTGGTAGCCGTCATTGTCATGTCCGAGGTGCTCCTGGCCACGTCGGCCAGGAGCGCCTGGGCAGACATGGCCGCAGGGACTAAATTTGGAGTGACTTGACCAGGTCATTCTCTTTAGTCCTGCAGTCAGGCCTATTGAACCATCTTATGGTGAGCAGGCAGGCGATACAGACTGCTAGCATTCCTACTGTACCATCTTCTGCCAGGCAGGCAAGAGATGAGGATGGCTAGCAGTCCTACTGCACCATCTTCTGCCGAGCAGCCATGAGATGTGGATGGCTTGCAGTCCTTCTGCACCGTCTGCTGCCAGCCAAAGATGTAAAAGATAGATGGAGTGGATCAAAACAAGAAATAGACCAGATTTGTTTTGTACTCATTTGCTTCCCCCCCCTCCCCCGTCTAGGGGACTCATTCCTCTAGGTCACACTGCAGTCACTCACAGAGAAGGTGCAGCGAGGTAAATCTAGCCATGTATCAATCAGAGGCCAGACCAACCTGCTTGTTCCAATAAGAACAATTACTTAGGTGCACCATTTCTTATTGGAACCCTCCGTGAAGTCCTGCCTGAAATACTCATTGATGTAAAGCCACCCCCTTTGTTGATTTTAATTCCCTGTAAGCCAACCCTGTAAGCCATGTCGTCAGTCGCCCCTCCCTCCATCAGAGCAACGGCAGACAATCGTTCCGCGCCTTTTTTCTGTGCTGACACCATACCAAGGCAAGCATGGAAGCCGCTCAGCTCACTTTGGCAATTAGGAGCACATTAAACACCACACACATTATCCAGCAGTATATGCAGCACCAGAACCTGGCAAAGCGATACCGGGCGAGGAGGCGACGTCAGCGCGGTCACGTGAGTGATCAGGACATGGACACAGATTTCTCTGAAAGCATGGGCCCTGCCAATGCATGCATCATGGTGCTAATGGGGCAGGTTCATGCTGTGGAACACTGATTCTGGGCTCGGGAAACAAGCACAGACTGGTGGGACCGCATAGTGTTGCAGGTGTGGGACGATTCCCAGTGGCTCCGAAACTTTCGCATGCGTAAGGGCACTTTCATGGAACTTTGTGACTTGCTTTCCCCTGCCCTGAAGCGCATGAATACCAAGATGAGAGCAACCCTCACAGTTGAGAAGCGAGTGGTAATAGCCCTGTGGAAGCTTGCAACGCCAGACAGCTACCGGTCAGTTGGGAATCAATTTGGAGTGGGCAAATCTACTGTGGGGGCTGCTGTGATGCAAGTAGCCCACGCAATCAAAGATCTGCTGATATCAAGGGTAGTGACCCTGGGAAATGTGCAGGTCATAGTGGATGGCTTTGCTGCAATGGGATTCCCTAACTGTGGTGGGGCTATAGACGGAACCCATATCCCTATCTTGGCACCGGAGCACCAAGCCTGTGAGTACATAAACCGCAAAGGGTACTTTTCAATAGTGCTGCAAGCTCTGGTGGATCACAAGGGACATTTCACCAACATCAACATGGGATTGCCGGGAAAGGTACATGATGCTCGCATCTTCAGGAACTGTGGTCTGTTTCAAAAGCTGCAGGAAGGGACTTTATTCCCAGACCAGAAAATAACTGTTGGGGATGTTGAAATGCCTATATGTATCCTTGGGGACCCAGCCTACCCCTTAATGCCATGGCTCATGAAGCCGTACACAGGCAGCCTGGACAGTAGTCAGGAGCTGTTCAACTACAGGCTGAGCAAGTGCAGAAATGTTGTAGAATGTGCATTTGGACATTTAAAGGTGCGCTGGCGCAGTTTACTGACTTGCTTAGACCTCAGCGAAACCAACATTCTCACTGTTATTACTGCTTGCTGTGTGCTCCACAATATCTGTGAGAGTAAGGGGGAGACGTTTATGGCGGGGTGGGAGGTTGAGGCAAATCTCCTGGCTGCTGGTTACGTGCAGCCAGACACCAGGGCAGTTAGAAGAGCACAGGAGGGTGCGGTACGCATCAGAGAAGCTTTGAAAGGCAGTTTCATGACTGGCCAGGCTACGATGTGAAAGTTCTGTTTGTTTCTCCTTGATGAAACCCCCCGCCCCTTGGTTCACTCTGCTTCCCTGTAAGCTAACCACCCTCCCCTCCTCCCTTCGATCACCGCTTGCAGAGGCAATAAAGTCATTGTTGCTTCACATTCATGCATTCTTTAATCATTCATCACACAAATAGGGGGATGACTACCAAGGTAGCCCAGGAGGGGTGGTGGAGGAGGGAAGGAAAATGCCACACAGCACTTTAAAAATTTACAACTTTAAAATTTATTGAATGCCAGCCTTCTGTTTTTTGGGCAATCCTCTGTGGTGGAGTGGCTGGTTGGCCAGAGGCCCCCCCACCGCATTCTTGGGCGTCTGGGTGTGGAGGCTATTGGAGGAGGCGGGCGGTTGGTTACAAAGGGGCTGTAGTGGCAGTCTGTGCTCCAGTTGCCTTTGCTGCAGCTCAACCATACACTGGAGCATACTGGTTTGATCCTCCAGCAGCCTCAGCATTGAATCCTTCCTCGTCTCATCACGCTGCCACCACATTTGAGCTTCAGCCCTGTCTTCAGCCCACCACTTACTCTCTTCAGCCCGCCACCTCTCCTCCCGGTCATTTTGTGCTTTCCTGCACTCTGACATTATTTGCCTCCACGCATTCGTCTGTGCTCTGTCAGTATGGGAGGACAGCATGAGCTCAGAGAACATTTCATCACGAGTGCGTTTTTTTTTTCTTTCTAATCTTCACTAGCCTCTGGGAAGGAGAAGATCCTGTGATCATTGAAACACATGGAGCTTTTGGAGAAAAAAAAAGGGACAGCGGTATTTAAAAAGACACATTTTATAAAACAGTGGCTACACTCTTTCTCGGTAAACCTTGCTGTTAACATTACATACATAGGACATGTGCTTTCGTTACAAGGTCGCATTTTGCCTCCCCTCACCGCATGGCTACCCCCTCAACCCTCCCCCCTCCCCGTGGCTAACAGCGGGGAACATTTCTGTTCAGCCACAGGCAAACAGCCCAGCAGGAATGGGCACCTCTGAGTGTCCCCTGAAGAAAAGCACCCTATTTCAACCAGGTGACCATGAATGATATCTCACTCTCCTGAGGATAAGACAGAGAGATAAAGAACAGACATTGTTTGAACTCCAGCAAACATACACTGCAGTGCTTTGTTGTACAATGATTCCCGAGTACGTGTTACTGGCCTGGAGTGGTAAAGTGTCCTACCATGGTGGATGGAGTAAGGCTGCCCTCCCCAGAAACCTTTTGCAAAGGCTTTGGGAGTACATCCAGGAGAGCCGCGAATGCCAGGGCAAATTAATCCTTTCACATGCTTGCTTTTAAACCATGTATAGTATTTTAAAAGGTACACTCTCCGGAGGTCCCTTCTCCGCCTGCCGGGTCCAGGAGGCAGCCTTGGGTGGGTTCAGGGGGTACTGGCTCCAGGTCCAGGGTGAGAAACAGTTCCTGGCTGTCGGGAAAACCGGTTTCTCTGCTTGCTTGCTGTGAGCTCTCTACAACCTCATCATCATCATCATCATCATCTTCGTCCCCAAAACCTGCTTCCGTGTTGCCTCCATCTCCATTGAAGGAGTCAAACAACACAGCTGGGGTAGTGGTGGCTGAACCCCCTAAAATGGCATGCAGCTCATCATAGAAGCGGCATGTTTGGGGCTCTGACCCGGAGCGGCTGTTCGCCTCTCTGGTTTTCTGGTAGGCTTGCCTCAGCTCCTTAAGTTTCACGCGGCACTGCTTCGGGTCCCTGTTATGGCCTCTGTCCTTCATGCCCTGGGAGATTTTGACAAAGGTTTTGGCATTTCGAAAACTGGAACGGAGTTCTGATAGTACGGATTCCTCTCCCCATACAGCGATCAGATCCCTTACCTCCCGTTCAGTCCATGCTGGATCTCTTTTGCGATTCTGGGACTCCATCATGGTCACCTCTGCTGATGAGCTCTGCATGGTCACCTGCAGCTTGCCACGCTGGCCAAACAGGAAATGAGATTCAAAAGTTCGCGGTTCTTTTCCTGTTTACCTAGCCAGTGCATCTGAGTTGAGAGTGCTGTCCAGAACGGTCACAATGGAGCACTCTGGGATAGCTCCTGGAGGCCAATACCATCGAATTGTGTCCACAGTACCCCAAATTCAACCCAGCAAGGCCGATTTAAGCGCTAATCCACTTGTCAGGGGTGGAGGAAGGAAATTGATTTTAAGAGCCCTTTAAGTCGAAAAAAAGAGGTTCATTGTGTGGACGGGTGCAGGTTTACATCGATTTAACGCTGCTAAATTCGACCTAAAGTCCTAGCGTAGACCAGGGTTTTGAGGATCTGGGCCTATGCCTAGATTCTGCTATGAGATTCCCACAGCCGCAGGAGGTGCACAGAGCTCATTGCAGGATTAGGCCATAGAATGTGCCTGTCTGAGTGCTGTGTTGAGCCTGATTTGTTTAGGTGCTGGAGACTAATTTTAAAGGCCGTTGGTTTCAGCCCCTCTTTTCTCTCAGCTGGCTTTTGTTGTTATATTTTTGTTTCATAGTTTCCCCCTGGTTTGGATGTTAACCACTAAAACCAATTTGACACCTTAGCCTTCCGCAGTCATCAACACCAACCATTCATAAGCACACAGAACAACAGAAGCACTAATATAATTACCTGGTATGATAGACCAGACCAAATCAAACAAAAACAGCTAATTAGTATTTTGCAGTGTTGTTGTAGCTGTGTTGATGCCAGGATATAAGAGAGACAAGGTGAGTGAGGTAATAGCTTTTTAGTTTCTCACAGAAGTTGGTGCAATAAAAGACATTACTTCACCCACCTTGTCTAGTTAGTATTTGACTGTTCCCCCATTCATTTCACTAGGAAGCTGTAGTTCTGTATTCTTAGCACAGAGGGTGCTGTGTAAGGGTATAAATAGCAGCACTCACCAGTTCCTTTATGTGATCTAAAATGGCATCCATCAGCAAGTACAGCTCTTCTCTTGGATCCAGAGAAAATCTTGAATTCTGAAAAACACTCCTCTGAGGTCAGAATGTCTTTTTGTAATATAAGAGCCAGAGGAAGGAAGAAACTTTCTTTGCAGTTGGTTTCTCCTTATCTTGCCTCTTGGGGATTCATATATGGTTACAGTGAGAACAGCTCTTCTCCTTTGGCTTTTTCATCTCACTGGTGGATTGTTCCATTGCAAAGACTGATTACACCCACTAGAGAGTAAATGTAAAACAAACGGTAATGTGAACACCTTCTGTGAGAACTAGGGGAAATAATGTACTGCTGAGAAAGTGAAGTAAGAAAAAAATATCACCCATAACATGCCATCTGGAAAAGAATGCAAATAAAGAGTGATTCCATAGGAACTCTGTAGGAGGTAGAAACAGATGGAGTTTTTCATTCAAAAGGTGTTTTTTGTTTTGTTTTGAGTCTTTTGGGGTTTTGGTTTGGTTTGTTTGTTTGTTCAAATTAAATATGGCTTTTTTATCAAAATGAAAATTTCAGAGGAAACTGTCTAATTTTGCCAAAAAGGATTTGTGGGGAGAAGAAGGTTGTCAAAAAAAAACAAACCCACAATATTTTGGCCAAAAACTGAAAAATGTTTAAGTCTTAATTGCTGAAAACAAAATATTTTTCAGTTTCCAGACAAATTTTTTCAGTTTGCTGAACGTGTTCTGGTTTTTGCCATAAACTGGAAAACAGTTGAAGAAAAATGTTGACAAAAATGAAAAATTTTGGTTTAGTTTGAATTTTTTTTTTTGTAGGAACAAAACATTTCCCAGCCAGCTCTGGTAAGAATGCAAAATGCCAGATAAACCATGGGCTATGATAGGGAAGATTTCTGCCTAAAGACCAGCTCCTGTGTGGACTGCTGCTCAGAAATTTGGGCATAGGTAGCTGGGCACTATTTGGCAGTGATGTACTACCAATATCTTAATATTTTAACAAAAACTTCCTTCTTAGCATTGTTCCGGGGTATGTATGCTTGCAGACAAGTGGCAAGAGGGACTGGAGAATCGATTAATTTGAACAAAAATGTTGTCTCATAAGAAGAAATTGGGAAGACTGGAATGCCACTGTTCTATTCAGTGCATTTGCTATATATGTATACATTGCCCCTACGATGTTGCCAGCTCTCATGATTTTATTGTGAATCTTGCTCTATTTGGTGTTTTTCTTAATGTCCCAGCCCCTGGATTCCTGTGATTATGTGAGACTCTCAGGTGCATTTTAAAAAATGTGTAACCTAAAGGCTCAAAAACCGAAAGGCAAATAAAAAGAAGCTAAGCTTTATTATTTTATTTAAAAGCTCATGCTTGTTAACACAGTCTCATGGTTTTGGGGAGCCTGGCTCATGGATTTTGAACACTGAAGGTTGGCAATCCTGAAACTACACTGAGTACTTTGCTCAAGCTGTATCATCTGAGTGAGATAGGGTGGAGAGGGAGGAAGACCCTTACAGACAGATATGAGGAGATCTTTCTCCAGGAAATTGTTCTAAAGTACCGATCATCTGATGCAATCTGGTTTATTCGATAAGTACGAATTTTTCTCTTCAGCAGTATTTTATGAGCCTTGGGATCGGATCAGCTTTAGATGGGTTTTGTGGGTTCAGTTGCACCCACAGAAAGCATGAAAACAAGAGTGCAACCCCCCCCCCCCATGAGGGGGGGAAGGATTGGGGAACTGCATTCACTCCTTTGCACAAGAAACCATGCATAGCTCAGGTCCTGCATCATGTTGGTGCTGCTCCTAGCCATGTCACTGTGTGATGATGTCAGAGTCATGCACCTCTGTGAAGGCCTGAAGAACAAAATGTACAAGAGGGAGCAGTGGGGTGCTGGAGGGAGATGTTTGATGCCTCCATGTGTCCCAGTCTCCAGGCAGTAAGGACGTGGGGATGGATGCCTAGCTGGGCTGACTCCCCCACCACGTCCCAGGTGGTGTCTCTCTCGCCACTGTGAGCACACCCATTGAATCGGGAGGCTGTACCCTTACCACTGTCCAGGCTGTCTGTGGGAAGGATGATCTATCAGTACTTGCGGGGGGGTGATAGGGAGGAAGGGCTAAATGCTAGAAGAGACAGTGAAATCACCCCAATCCTCTATGTAGAATTTTAACAAGGGTTTTCAGGAACTCCTCAAGGTACTCCAGTACACTGCTGCTTATTGGTTTACTAAGGCAGTAACCTGGCTGATAGTCCCAATTATTGTTATGCTTCTTGCAGGCCAGTGTCTACTAAACTTTTAGGGCCAGGTTATGGAAGACTCTCTCATTGATGTGCAGGGTGGATTTGATTTAAATCATGATTTAAATCACTAGTCAGGAAGAATCAATTTAATCATGATTTTCTACATAAAAGTGCATTCATGTTGGTTGTTATAACCTGAATACATATTCTTCACAACACAGAGATAGATGTAGGTTTCATTTTTAGAAGGTACTGTACACACTATACATTTTTAAAGTGATTTATTTTGAAAACTTTTCAGATTAGTTTTACAGCTATATCAGAAAATGAATGATTATTTGGTTATTTCATTTACCAAAGGTAATTGAAGCAGATATTTATGAAGTCATTGGGAGGTGAACTACCTCCAATTTAACAAGTTAATCATTAATATTTGAAGGATTTTCTTGCCATGCTGTATTAGGAGGAGAACATCACCAGACAGACATTTAAATTGTTTTATTTAACTAAAACAACAACGTTAAGTATTCTGGATTTTTTTCTTCAACAGCAAATGTATAATATTTTAACAAAACAGCATATGTCCCTCACTTCTCACGTTTATGTCCAGACTTCTTCTCCTTGTCCAGATCTATTCCGCCCCCAACAATCTTCTATTCATTGAACTTTTTGAAACTTTGCACTTTTAGAGAGAGGTAAGGGATTGACTCTGTGTACACAAATTTGCAGAGAGACAATAGGGTTGAGGTCTGTTATTTCTCACCTCTATATATTTATTTATTTTAAAACTTTTTTGCTGTTAACAAGCATGTTATCTCTGGAGACACAAATTCACAGTTTGAGAACTGCAAAACTAAGCATCTCTGATGGTATCTTCTAGACTGAGCACTGAGTCCCATTGGGTAGATAGAAAGATTAACCTAAATAATCTATACATAAGTCCTTGGAACCCCATAAGATTGGGTTCCTAATCCATGAACTATTGGAACTCATTTACAAAACTTTTCTTAAACATTACATGAATATATTGTCTCATACTATAGAATTAGAATTTATAATCCCTATTCCATGATGAGATATCTTTGAGCTATAATGTATCTTAATTAAAACTATCTTTAGATAGGTTTTTTCCTCAAAAAGCATTTTATCAAAAAAATCTGATTTAAATAAAAAAAATCATTGATTTTTATCCACCCTGGTGATGCGTGTAATGGTAGTGAACAAGAAGCTGCCTCCCATTGCAGGATCCATGCCAGGACCACGCAGGGGCTGTATTTTTGGGGCATCCTCCAGGGCACACGTACATGGAGGGACAAGGCAATGAACTTCTCCTCTGCACCATCATATGAAGTGGGCTGTGCCATTCTTTAGGGGGATGAATGGGCCTTGATGATAGTACCATTTGGTAAGTCTGGAATGGGTTCTATGGAGTAGGCCATGCGTTTGAGGGTAGGCCAAGTGTAGGTAGCTCCTGTTCACTATACCTGTCCTAAACCCTAGTTTTGCCTTAGCAGAGAGAAGGTGATACTGTTCTACAGTGATCATGTACTCCATTCCTGAAATGTTCTGTAGAATCTGCAAGGGCAGAATGCAAGTATGTGCAGTGCTGGCATATGGGGACACTGCTCAAAGAGGGCCTAGTTAAGGTTGTGTTGTGGGGGTGGCATGTAGTTCTGTATTTCCTGGCTTTCAGAAGGTTAAATTTGCATTACCTTAGCTCTTCATTTCCTAGATTTCAGGGGTTTAAGTGTAGCTGAACTTGATGTTCTGAGATAGGGTGACCAGACAGAAAGCATGAAAAATCGGGGTGGGGTGGTAATAGGAGCCTACATAAGAAAAAGACCCAAAAATCGGGACTTGTCCCTATAAAATCAGGACATCTGGTCACCCTATTCTGAGATGAAGCATCATTGGACAATCTTAACTCTGCCTTAACAAAGTTTTTGGACCTTTAATTTCCTTTAAAAAAAAATTCTAAGAACCCCGTGTTCCACAGGCCAGCTCTCCATCTCTGCTGCCTCTGGCTCCCTGACAACTATTACCCTGGCCACAGAAGGTACTGAACTGATGTTGGTCCCTTCACTGCCCCACAATCACCTCTCTGCCTGTCCAGCACAGCCTGGTCCTCCCTTCCCAGCCTTCCTACCCACAGAGGAATGGGCATCAGTGGGGGGCCCATTAGACTGAGAATCTGGGTACAAGATTCAGGAATAATACAGGCACTGACACAGTAGTAAAGGCATATTTTGAAGGGGGGACAAAAATGGGCATGGGTAGGTTTTGGGGATGCTAAAGCCTCCCTGCTTCCCTCAGTGCACAGCTCTGACCCTCTCCTTTCCTCCCCACGTTCTTCTGCACTTCTCTGACCTTCCCTTTCCCCCTAAAAGCAGCAATATCCAGCATCCTGGAGGCAACACGGGGAAGGACAAAGTCCTGGGTTCCTTCCCCGATCAGGTTTCATTGGAGGGAAGGAGAACCACTGAGCCCCCTCCCTTGGCCTGGTGGAGAAGCCATGGGGAGGAACTTTGAGGTGATGGGTGTATCTGGAAGGGGCCTAGGGCAAGGCAGAGCTCGCTCCATTTTCTTTCCCCTCCTTATGGTACTGTTCTGTCAGAACTTATGAGCTCCCATGGAGCAAAGATCCCTTTGAGGATGATCCCTTATTCATAGAGTGATTGTAGAAAAACTATACTTTTTGGGAACTTAGTTCTTCATCAAAGCTCTAATAATCAAACTAGGTTTTCAGAAACATAATGCTTGTACAATCCCTTGCATTAATAAAAGTCATTGTCTAAGTGTGTGCTGGCCTCTCCGTAGATGTGCCCGGTTGGCAAAGGGGCAGAGCTGCAGTCCCAACTCCAGCATTGCCTGCCCTGCTCCAACATATACCCCTATTTCTCCCTTACCTCTCCAATTCCTCCATGTTCCTATGAAACAAAAAAGTTATGAAAATCTGAAAATGTTATGAGCAGCTCATGTTAATGGGTTGTCTATCACTAACCCCCATGACCAGAGGACCCAACAACTTACTTGCTTTCCTTTGATCACATTCAGTCCTATTGTTCAGGAAATGATTGCGCCTCATGAGTCATAATTGCATTACCTTTACTAGAATCTTTCATCTGATATCTGTTTAATACTAATTTCCTTGGTAATACTTCTAAAGTAAAACCAGAGTGCATGTAGATTTTAGAGCACTTTAAAATATTGGCTCTTAAACCAGGGCAAAATTTTCCAAAAGGAGACCCTACAGAATGCAGGCAGAGAACTCAAATGTATAATACAGATGCTCTGAAAACTGCCAAGGGTACAGCTCCAATTCACTTTTCATAGCCATTGCTCAGGTTCAGTGGCCATAGCATGTCACCTTGAGCCATCCAGTCACTGTGATAAGACTGCCTGCGAACTTTCTGTCATGAACAGAACCCTAGTCTTGCTGCACATGTGCATTTCACTCTTTGGCTTGTCAGTTAGGCTCAACCCAGGGTGAAGTTCTAAACTGTACCCTGAATAGCTTTGGAAATGTTGCATTCCCCAAAGAGGCAGTGGGTAGCATGCAATAGTTGAGATAAATCCAGAGCAGGTAAAATCAGTGTGGAGACGATTAGAGCCATTGTTCAAAACCCAGGTATGCACAAAAACTGTTAGAAGAACCCAGTGATTTTGTAAACATGATTTTTAGGGGGACTGCATTTCAGGAACCCTTTGTTCAAATGACCCCAAATTTGAATCCTTCCCCCAGCCCCATGTTGCATAGCAACTTTCAAGACAATACAAGCCACCATGTGGATTTTGGAGTGACTCTAAATCTTAACTATGCAAAGTTGCCACTTTGCTATAATGTGCAACATCTAAATTGCCATTAACACCATGACCCCAAATCAAAAAAAAAATAAAATAAAAAATAAAATAAAATAAAAAATAAAAAAAATAAAAATAAAATAAATAAATAAAATAAAAAAAAAATAAAATAAAAAATAATCAGAAGTACTTTCATGAATGACCACCATGTGAGAAGCATAAAATGATAAAAGACCTTCACAAATTGTTGAGGCCATATTTATTACGTTCTCAGGATGACATATAGTAATGAAGGCATATATCAAGGATATGAGAGGCCCTCTTTGAAAGGTATCTGGATGTCTCACATGTATCAAATGATCAAAGCAGATCTGGATATTATGGACAGTTCCAGTGTATCAGTTCTTAGTGAGAAACCTGCATCTAAAGCAGGACAATAAAAGGTCATTTTGTTTTGCAGGAGATTTTGATTTTTAAAAATTGGTTTACTTTGGATTTGGAATGAAAACCAAAAATTTCAAAATTCTTTGTGGAAAGGAATGGAGCCCTGGCTAGCCTGAAGCCAGGGACCCTGAAAGCTCTGGGAGCCTGCGCTGCCCAGGAGCCGGGCAGGCAAGATGGCAGGAAAATAGGCAGGTTTCATGACCTACTTGGGTCCCATCAGAATTTCATCAAAATTGAACCATGTCTGTTTGGTTTTCAACAAATTTGCGAATACTGATGAATGCCGATGGTATGTGATGACTTCTGACCAGTCTATCGACAACATTAAAGATCGGTAAGTTTGTGTAGTCAGTTCATTATTACTGTTTTATTTCTCTGTCAGTGTTATGAAAGCATTTTGCATTGAAAGTCAAATGTAGATCTAGTCAGTGGATGGTGGAGCTGATTGTTGTGCACAGGGAGACAGTAGAACCCCAAACTTAGCAGTAAATATTTTCCTTCTTTTTATTTATTTTTTCTTATTTTTCTCCTGTTGCAGCTTTCTTTACATGTTCTTTGCTGACAACATTAGTCCTTTGTGCCTTTCTTATGAATGACTTTTCTTGTGAATTTTGTAAGATACTTGTTCCCACTTTTCATGGTTGGTGATAAGTTGAATTACTCCAGACACACTCTTGTTTTGCAGTTTATATCCAACTCATAATTTAATCATTTGAAAATAGATATGTTCTTTGTAGAGTGGTAGATTATCTATTTTTTTTTGTGTGTGTGAATCAAACAGAAGTCAATTAAAATAACAAAACAAAAACTATATAATCAGGCAAAGAAGAGACTAAAGCAAGGCTAGATTGCTACAAGATTATCAACACCTTTTATGAAAGGAATCTAGCGCCTACCATCTAGTGTATACAATAGTCTGAACAGTACTAAATAAACTACTGCTTTATGCTGGACACCTCACAAACTATTGCCCAGTGTGTTACCTTCCTTTCCTAAGTAAGATAGTTGGCCAGCTTGCAGAAAACAGTCTCTGATGCCCTCTGTTAGCTGCCAGGACCTGGGATCCCTCTCAGTCAGGCTTCAGATCAGGGAATATGGCATCTATGGCATCTGACAGTATTGATCACCAGCTAGTCTTGGCCATCATGAAAAGGTTACTGAAGTGAACAGAAATGCCCTGAAATGGCTTTGGTCCTTCTTCCCTGTCAGTGGCTTGGAACTGGCTGCTGTTTCTCTCTCTGGAGTCCTCCAAGGCTCAATCCTCCAATCCTCCATTTTAGTCAACATCTGTGTGAAGCTATTGAGAGAGCTGGTGAAACAATACAAGGTGATGTGATAGCAGCACACAGACAACACACAGTTCGACAACTTGTGTCAGGCATATGTAGCACCATCTCCCAGCTTTCTCAGTGCCTGGCCGAAACCAACACTTGGATGAAGAACAGCTGCCCAAAGCTGAATCCAAGCAAGACTAAGGTGATGTTGATAGGAAGAGGCTGAAGTGCTGAATTCAGACCTTTCACAGGAGCTGGGCCTGGATTATGGGACTCGCTTCCCCAAGAGATAAGAATGACCATGGAACTAACTACTTCAGAACGAGATGTAAAACTCACTTCTGCAACTCAGCTTCCCCTCAATAATTTCTTCACACATGCCACATCCATTCATTCACACATGCATATCTACAAGCCTAAACAAGCAAATAAAAAGCCTGTAGTCTTTCTCCTTGGAAGAAAGCAAGCATGGTGGTTGTGATTTTGTTTTTGAGATACTTGGGCGGTGCTCTCATATGACACAAACACCTAGAAGGTTAAAATAAGAGAAAATGTTCAAACCTGGGTGTCTAAAGTTAGACTCCTAAATCCATATTTAGGCAACTAAATACAAATGGCCTGTTTTCAAAGGCTAAGGTTGCTAACAGATTCTCCTTCAGTGCATGTGGGACATAGATACTCTGAGTTCTACTATGCTCTCGTTTAAATATTCCTGGTGTGAAGCATGGTTACAGCTGTGAATTCCTATGTTCCCATACAGTTGTTGTGAATATATATATTTTTATAATGGAAATGTAACATAGGCCTTCTCACTGGTAAAGAGATTTCACATATGTAACACTATCTTCTGCAAGGGGTAAATGGTCATTCATAAAGTCATTTTGTAAAGGTCTTGTATGAGTTCTTTTTGGGACTCAGAGATTAGCCCAACAGCAGAAATGACAGGTTCTGTATGTGCTGAAAGGAGGGTAAGTGTGATGGGAAAAAAATGAAGGACATACAGTCAAACACACACAATAGCCTGAAATTAAACACTTCCCTTGGGGAGGTATGCTCTCTGTGGCCATGAAAACTGTTTTCTATCCGCCCAGCACAGTATGTTATTAGAGAGAAAAAATAGACCACATTGTAATGTGTGTTCTTTCAAATACTTTATGAAGAAACTTGGCTGGCTTACTCTCTTGCTCTTTGAGTGGCTTCTGTCTGCTGTTCCTGAAACAGATTGTTGTGACTGAAGCTGTGACAAAAAAACCTAAATGTGGATGTCCACAATTTTTGAAGTGTCCACAGAAAATATCACAAAATAGTGCAAGCTGAAATCACTTCCCTGGAGAAGTGTCTGCACAATCAAAATGCTCTTCTCACCGCTGGCATCACCTATATTTAGTAACCGTTTCAGAGTCATGGTGATTGGAAAAACTGCTCCTCCTTGTGCCCTTTGGACTCTCAGATAGTCAGTCAGGCTCATTTGGTTTTCTTTTAAACCTCATTAATGGAGGATGCTGCCAATGTGAGTAATAAGCTGGGACTTCTTGACATGATGTGTATAACACTGGAAACAGAAAATATCCCCCAGGAAAGTTCCAAAGACACTCTTGGCTATTCATTCAGCTACACTGAATCACATCACTTGAGTTGAACATTTGCTCTGTCAGAAAGAGCTTAATTAAATAAACAAAACAAGAAACCAATCCCCAACATTTCTTTTGAAAGCCATCTGCTTCGCTGACCTGTTTCAAAGCATGCAAATTTACAAGTGAAATGCAATTTTCAGTCAGTCAGTGGCCTGTGAAATATAATTATTATGCTAATTTCAAATTCCAAATCATCAGCCCAGGTTATGGGTGCTCACTCAGCAAATAAGCCTGTATAATTATAATGAAAATTAAAATGTCAATCCTAGGATTTGACTAAGGCATTGAAAAGTGATGTCTTTTTTTTTTTTATGGTGTCAGCAAACCAAAGTTCAAAAAAACTCAACATGGGTGAATTTTTCTAGTAGAAATTGTATCTGGCTGTCTGAAGGCAATCCTGGATGAGGGAATTGTGCCTCAATGGATGTATACAAGGCTGAGTGAAGAGGCATGTGATCTGTATTGACTTGTGTGACCTTAGACAAGTCACTTAATCATTCTGCTGTGCAATTCCCCATCTGTAAAATAGAGCAATTGATACTGACTCTGTTCTGTAAAGTGTTCGGTGATCTATGATTGAATAACGCGAAACATTCATAGGTGTACAATATTTCGTTTTGTCAGCATGTTAGTGGCACAGGGATGTCTTGGAGATGGGGAGCTGTTTAGAAAACATGGAAATATCCTCTTAGATATATTTTCCTTTCTTTGCAATAGAACTCTTACTGTGAAATTTCAAGCTATATTTGAACTGTAGTGGCTTCTCTCCTCCCAGCAAGGTAGCACATCTATCACCTAACACCAGACAGTTATTTTTCTTCAGTAGCACCTTTGGGATTCAACTAACCTTCGAAATTGTGTTCTGATGGTAACAGCAGGTGACATACGGAGCCAAATTTTTCACTAAATTATACTGGTGCAACCTCATTGAAGTAACCGAGAATAGGATTTTGTCCATTAGTGTCTCTAACACTGAGAGATGAATCAATAACATGACGCTGTGATGTATCACAGGTGGGATTCTAGTGAGCAAAATAAAGCCACGGCTCTCTTGGACATTTGTCTGAAGGGACTCCATTACTGACCTTCAACTTGTCATACCACTTGTTAGGAAAGAGCTGTTGCTGCTGCCAGGGTTGTTGTTAACGTAATCAAATTAACAGTGATTTTGTACAGTGCCTCCAACTCTTGTGAGGGCAAGCACACAATGGGTGTCACCATGCCTCTCAGCACAATTTCAGTGTACGAGTAAGCAATGCTCTATGGACCCAATGAACCAGACAGAATATGTACAGTAGACATTTCTAGTGCAAAGCACAAGAAGGAGTTTGGAAAGGAAAAGAACTGGGGAGCGAAAAAGAGTAAATTTTGCTTCTTGGAAGAGATTAGGCCTGCTCCAGCTCCACTGGACAGCCTCTGTGAGATTTTGCTTTTCTCAGGACCATTGGAATGAATGGGAAGGGAATAACAGCATAATGAGGAACCATCTGATCGAGAATGAATCTGTTGCCCAGGCCTGAGATTCTCTAACCTTGCTTCAGAGCTTTGGTAGCTTGTGGTTCTGTGGCAAGGCAAAGAGATCCATTTTGAGTCTCCCCTGGTTTGAGCAAATTGAGAAAGAGAGAGAGAGACCGCCCGCCCACCTGCCCTGTTGACGGACTGCTTACTAGGGCTGATGGCTCGATAACTCAGCCAGTCTGACTGCAAGCTGGGGGCTCCTGCCAAATGTGATACTTTTAAGGGTGTGAAATTCTTCTCCATCCATTCTGAGAGCATTCGTCCCAATGGCTATACAGCCTGGTGCCCTGCTGATGATTGATATGAGACCACCATGGCATTGTCAGGTAGCCGCATGGTCTCCTCATCCTGGGAGACCATGTCCTTGAACTGCTGTACGGGTAGTCCCCTGACTGCTCTGAGCTTGAGGAGGTTGATATGCACCCTCCTGTCCTGTCCGGACTGCATCCCTGAGGCATAGTGGGCAGGAGAACAGCTGTTAAGGAAGTGAGAAAGTTTAACTGTTCCCGTATGAGTGATCAAAGAAGGGTAACAATAATACCTAGCACTTATCTAGTGCTTTTCATCAGGAGATCTGAGTGCTTTACGAAGGAGGCCAGTATCATGGGGAAAATGTCTTTCTGTGACTGGGAGGAAGGAGTCTTTTCCATCATAGAGGTCTTGCAGTGCTTGGTCTGGTGAAACTCCAAAAAGACATTTCTATTTAAAGGGATTGGCAGTGAGACCATTTGCATCAGAAAATGCTACTCAGCTTCAGGGTGGCAGAATCAAGCCCTTTACAATCACGTCCTGTTTAAAAATTAAAAAATTGGCATGGAGGCTTGGTGACAAGTGTAGCACCTGGGACTACTTTAAACTTCTTCTAAAAAATACTGATTAGGTTTCAAGTTGTCACTTTAAGAAATGTCTCAAATACCTGTAACTAGGCTTGGCAATGTATACACTGGATTACGAAATTGATGCCTCCCACCACAAAGGGAGGCTGTGAGGTTAGGAGTGCCTTGGGGATGGGGCAGTGGGGATATCTCGACTCAGTGCATTCTGACATAGTGTTGCAACTCCTGTCTAGGGTGGAGACTTAAACAGTAGGCTTTAGAATGCTGTAGCATTCTAGACAAGGTAAATACTGTAGGAAGCATTGAACTAGGAAAAACACAAACAGCAAAAACTAGCTGTAACCAGTCCCAGAAGTCTGCATCCTTGTGGAAGAAAAGCTGAGGGAGAGCTGCTGGCCTCTCAATCACTTGCATTTGAGCTTATTTGTGTATTACTCAAGGGGTCTAATTCTCTGTTACACTAAGGTCCCCTTATCCCACTCTTGCAGCATAACAGGGACTTAGAAACATGGAGATAGCCCCCCTCCCCCCGATAACACCCCATCCACAGGGGGCTTCCCAGGCCAGCACAGAGCTGGTGTATCTATACAGAACTCATAACTAAGTATAAGGGCTCCAGGCTGATAGCTAACTCTAAACTAGCCCTGCTCCTAACCCTCAGCACAGGGGGCAGGCAAGATACAGCTATTCTCAGCTTCCTAGGACCGCTCAAGGGTGCCCAACCTCTGGGCCGTAAACAGCCCACTGCAGCATTTCGTAAGGCCCGCTGCCTGCTTCAACACAACATACTAACGGCCGATTCATTAGTGTTGTGTCATCATGTTCACATCATTTTAGTTTACACAAGTGTATAGACAACACTGTACATAGGTTGTTTGTCTCAATACATACAAAACAAGCTGAACTTAAAAATACAAGTGACTTTAAATTTATTAAAATACGTAGAATCTGTTTGGCCCACACAAGGTTGTGCTTAGGTTTACGTGGCCCTCCTGTGTAATGAGGTTGGGCACGACAGAGGATCGTGGAAAGCAGAGCATAAGCAGAGAACAGTCCTGAGGTTGCTGTAGCTTACTCTGGTGACTAGGCATGCTGCTGCATCACCCCAAAATACAGGGAGTGCAAAGGTGACTTAAAGGCACTTTAAACCCTCTCTATCTCTTAGTCCATCCTTGCACTTGGAGAAATGGTAATCTGAGCCAATGCAAGGTAAGTATGGAAGAAATCAGGTCCTAAATGTCTGCCTTTCTGCCTATTGCTATGTATAAAACCCACATAAACAGAAGGGAATGACTCATTAACAGTTGATTGTTCAGGGGAAACCATGACATTGACCATCCACCAAGTGCTGTCATGCGCAAAAAAAAGTAAACAAAAAAAGTAGTTAAAATATTAGTTCCTATAATCTTTCAATGATAGTGGGTGTTACAAAGTGACAAAAATGTTCAAGCGGAAGAGACCATCTTTGTGTTCTGTTTGTACAGCACCTAGCAGAGTGGGGTTCTGGGACATGACTGTGGCTTCTAAGCATTATGGTTATGTTACTGCTGCTGTTATCTAAATTAAAGGTGTTCCCTTAAATCTTGTGTACTTTGTAGCTGTCATATATAGCATCAGTCATCTCAGTCTCTTCAAAAAAATTAATTATGCTTCACAACACTTCTCTGAGACAGGTATTATTCCCATTTTACAGATGGGTAAACTGAGGCACAGAGAGGTTGCCCAAAGTCACAGAGCAAAATTAGTGGTGGAGTCAGGAATAGAAATGAGGACTTCAAAGAGTGCCAGCACCCTGCTCAAACTACTAGACATCACTGCCTTGTCTGTACACTGTTAATTTTCTTCTTCTATAGCAACTATTTCCCTGTTTTCTTTCTTTTTTCACCCTGCCTTTCCCTCCTCAAAAAATGTATTTCAATTTTCCCCAAACATAATGCTTAAGTAAACTTTACACATTTATTTTTCTTTCATCCCTACCCCACCCACCCATTTACCACCTGAGTACCTGGAAGAGATTTCCCAGCCCTTCCCAAGCAATCTGAGTGACCAGTCAAGTGACACAGTAGCTAGGAGCAGCCTCAGCCTGTCAGTAGGAAAAATTATTTTGCTTCTCTCTAGATAGAGCAAACTCTAGTGTATTCCAGATGCAGGAGCTGGCTTCTTTATAAATTGCTTGGGAGGAGAGGAGAGAGATCTTGGTAGCTCCAGATGTGGTGGGAGGAGCCAACTCCACTGTCCCCCACACTTATTGGTATTTGTGATTTCCCCCTTTTAAAAAAAACTGCTTTCTTCAAAGGGGGGTTAGAAGCCAGCGTGCTCTACTAGTTAAAGGAACTCAGAACTTCTGTA